GTGTACCGAAAACATTAATGTCTTTTGAAAAATTGGGTGAGAGTTTGTATTTGTTGGTGATTACCGAAGAAATTCTTTGAAACCTAGAATTTTGTTCTGACAAAAAAATGAATATAGTGGTACTTTTCTGTCTTCAACGGCAGCAAAGTTGCATATCGAAACCTTCTTTCCACCTTATTCACCTATAATGCATACCAAATAAAGCCTCAAGTTTTCTAAATCATAGTCTGGTGACCACAATCTCAAAAACTGGTGTCAGACTTTATGGCAGAACAACAAATTTTATCAGGAAGATTACAACTTCAGAAATGGATTGGGCTTAACATGGATGATGTACTCAAATCTCACACGGCACATTTATCTTTCCCAAACCCACATGCAGGTACAACTCCCCCACCTCTCCACTAATAAAAGTAACTGGTTAGTTTATCCCTCACCATATTTTCCAGAGTATCTGACAGTTTGTAATCGGTGAGTGTTTAGGGATGCTTATATCTAAAAAAAAATGATATCGAACTTAATGTTGTTTTTCAACAAACTACTAAAGAACAACAGTATTTATTTATTTAAGTTAAGTCATGTATTCTTGTCATTTGTTAGGATATAAAAACGTGTATGTGACAATTTCACATGAATATTTAATAACCTAATTCTTAAGATATCCTGTGTCTGTCTTGTTAAGTTTTAGGTCCAGGAAAGACTCCAGTTCCACGTGGCCCAAACGTATTGACCTCTTCAACTGTCTTCAGAACTAATGATTGTTACATCACTGTACCACCGTCTTGTGTAAGGAAATATCTTATCAAGTATAATTAATGCCTGAGATGATTTGGTGTAAGAAGGGTAAATTTTTAAATCAGTAGACAAAGTACATACACATAAACTGTGGTTTAAAATCAAGGAATTATATAATTGTAAGTGATGCATCAGAAGAAAAATGGTTTTGTATGAACAAGTGCATTTTTTTTTCCAGATGTTAGGATGTACAACATCGCAGGGTCGGCCAATCCCGGTTCTTCAAACTTCCCGACCCTTGTCCTCTCGACCGGCTAGTGCTCCTGTGTCACCTTCAAATGGCAGTCATGCCCAAATGGCTATACAAGAACCAGACTGCCACCATTTTCTCAACCCCACATGGGGAGTTACTACGACCATGGATGTGACTCCTCAGGATTGATCGTCAATCATCGTTTCGTGCTTGGAATTATGACCATATTGTAATATAATCTTTTAATGTAGTAGTCAGTCTGATCTCAGAAAGATTTAACACTTCTGAACCTCTGTATTTCTAAAATAGTTGGTGTTTAAGGAAAGATCACAACTTCCTGGAATGAGTTATTTCAACGATCAACTTAACGAGTGAAGGTAACCCTGTTATTTATCTACAGTGATACAACACAGAGTTTGGTTCTTAGACAAAGCTTCCATTAGCCAACTGATGTACACTGCACTGGTCTTATCAAACATTGTACATATTACAGAAATTCTGTAGTTTTATGTAGAAAACAAATGATTTTTAGTGTTTTGTATAGCCATTATTTTTAGTGTTTTGTTACCGGTTCTCAGATTTTGTGGTACAGTAAGTAAACAATGATAGCGAGCTTAAGTTCATTTGTAATTGCTAACAAACTGCTAATGCTTTGTTCCAGAGCATAAGAATACAGCCAGGTAGTGTTGGAACAGAAATATGGTCCTAAGTCAAAAGAAATAAGACTCGGCTGTTCCTTACTTGATGTGTAAGTAAAATGTACTGGTGCACAAAAATAGCCGTAATCTGTGGAATATTTTCTTTTAAAATAAACTGCCCCTTGTTTTTATTTCATATGGAACTTTGTACAGAGAAAGGTATATTTTTGTGTGGCAGAATGTAGTCAAAGAGTGGTTTTAATATAATAAGGTTTTTAGAACCTGGGTTACCACAAAGTGGACAGCTTGTTTGTACGTCATTATTTCAGTAACGGACGATGAAGAAAGTAGTCATGGAAAAACTAGTTATCAAAGTTCAATTCATGGCATTTTATCGGAAGGACTGTTCACTTGGAAACGACAGCAGCACAATTACTGTAATACTTGTTTATGTATCACTTACTCTGGTTTATTGTTATCATCTTTCATTTGTACAATGTTAAGTGGATTTTTTGTACCACGGAAGTTCGTAAGTTATTTCCTACTGATGGATTTTTGTTAACGACCAAAAATAAATTTTCTTGTAAATACATTGAATATTACATCAGAATGCCTTTGGTGTTATTAATGTCCAGTAAAATGCTGCTGGGTTTTTTTTTATCATACAACACCAATAAGGTCTTACAATGATTGCCATTTGTGGATGGACAAAAGTTACTTTGATTATATAACCTTTAACAACTGAACCTAACATTATTTCTTGGTGTAGAAACAGTACACAGACTAAAAAACTTGTTACTCTATTGATTATCACATGGCTTCTCTCAATGATATGTTAACACTAAATCTGGTTAATGTAGAAGTAATGTATATTTCACTTAGAAAACTTACCAGTATGATACTGTACACTTAGGAGACCAAAGTCTAGCTTGACCATTATCATTGGCTGTCCAGACTGGTGGCAGACATTTTGATGGTTATGCCGAACTTGCAACGTGAGCACTGAAAACTTGGTTGCCTTCGGTGTCTCTTTATGAGGTAACATATAACCACAGACATGCTTTGTTGATTTTTAACAATTAATTCAAGGATAGTAACATTTTTTTCTTACATTTAAACAGGTGTGATCCGTAGTTGTGCACAGAATTTCTTTCATGCTTTACTAAAAAAAATTAATGTTTTTAAACGAGTTCAGAAGTTTATTACTACATTACATTTGAACCACATTCCATCAAGGAACATTGGGAGGAACAATGTAATTCCAACTTGTATATATTTTCAGTTCTTTGGAACATTCCATCAGAGACTTCAGCATTCTTAGGACTAATCTAGTCTGTGTTTAACAACCTTAAAGTAATTGAGGTTTATCTGTAAACAAGATGACTTAAACTGTTTCTACAGAAGAATATCTGAAAAATAATCTCACCTATAAAGATTCGGAATGAAACGCAAGCGAGATATACAGCAACCAAGCACTGTTGCAAGTCTTCGGTCACATGACTTGTGCTTCACGGTACTTTCACAATATGATTAAAAACCAAAGCTATCTAAGCGTCTTCATACTTTTGACCATCTTCACAAGTTTTCGAAAGCTATATTTCAGAGATTTGTATATTCCTGTAAAATAGAAGGTTGAAACGTCAATCTTGCAATATTAACGAGTACGGGGCCTATCAACCTAGATAACCTAGCACTTGTAAAAGTACATGTTAATTAGAATTTTTCTCCCTAGCCAAATGTCAAATAGACACTTCTAAAATTTGCTGTACTTTTAACTCATAAACTAGATAGAACAGAAAATATTTTGAGTAACAATATAAAGGATAAGAGCACTAAGTCAGTCCTTATTCTGCTTGATATTGTGGTATCAAATATCATTCTGGTTATAGTTGACACCGTAAAGTGCACATGGGGCTCTTACTGATGTCAAGACTTAACCAATTTCTAGCTTAAGATAACATTAACATATGGTTTCCAAAACAAGTTTTTTAACTACAAAATGAAAGTTATTCCTTTGTAATATCTGTTGTTCCGAGCTTTTACTTGTTAAACAAATGTTTAAACAACTATGTATCGGCTGCCTAGTATCAGCTAAAAATACAAACAATTAAATTGTGGCTTTAATGCTACAAGTTCTTCAAATACCTATAGAATGATAAGTTTCTTTTTTGTGAGTGTAAAACACTTAAAAACATCATTTCAAAACTGTTTTATTACTTACCAGCTGTGAATACCCCTTTCAAACTCTGTGACAATTTCAAAACTATACTTGTTTTATTACTTACCGGCTGTGAATATCCCTTTCAAACTCTGTGACAATTTCAAAACTATACTTGTTTTATTACTTACCGGCTGTGAATACCCCTTTCAAACTTTGTGACAGTTTCAAAACTATACTTGTTTTATTACTTACCGGCTGTGAATACCCCTTTCAAACTTTGTGACAGTTTCA